ACAATCCATCATGAAAGTGAACAAAAAATCTGTTGTAAATGTATTGTGTCCCCACAAAGAAACCTGCCAGCCACATGCCTACTGGTTTTACAATGCTCTCACACAGCAGCAGTCTGGAATGCCTGAGACTGAGGATGCTTTCAAAGACAACTCCTTTCTCCAGCGCTTCGTCGTGGGACCACACAGCATCTGATGCAAGCAACTAGCATATCCAAATGCAAAGAGCCTGGCGGCGTCTGCATAGTAAGACTCCAGGATCATCCATTTGAAGCGGGGGTATTTGCGAAACCCTGCTTGCGCAGATGACAAGGGGGCAGAGTCTGCAAATAGACATGAAATCCAGTAACTTCTGCTTAAACTTGGTAGCAGATGACAGGGAGAGCCATTTGTGGCCAAGGCAGGCATCAGCTGGTGTGGGCCATGATCGCCAGCGTGTCAGCCAGCTTGATTACTTCGGTCCATGTACCTGCATTCCGCGCGTCTCCACTACCACAATGCAAATGTTAACTGCCAGTTCGGAGGTTAATGTGTCTTGGAAGGCCGCTTTGCGAGCATGGCCCCGCAGGTTTATCATATGGGATTTGATCACCATACCGCTGGAGATGTTCAACGTTCCAGAGTGGCTTGACTTCAAGCTAAAGTGTGGTCACAAACCAGGGCAGCGTTAAGCAAAGTGGCTGGACGTTTGGAGACTTAATTCAGAGCAAGCCTTCGAATTCAGAAGTATGCTGTTCTTTTACAGCCGCGCCATGTTGCGCGCATGCCGAACCATGAGCCTTTGGGCTTGATGCCTTTTACCGCACCACCCTTCGGAAGCCCCCTTTTGCACCTTCTTTCGCTGCGCTGAAAAAGCAATCCGCTAGTTTAGCCACATTTGGCAACAGGTGGCTCAAGAGCCTTCACGCCAACATTCCTCGCAAAGGCAGCATGCGGAAATAGAACAAACAATCCTACCTCAGAAAGCACCGCTCCTCTGGCCTTTTTGGGCATCCAGTTGGAGGTCAGGCCTGCGATGCACACGCGCCTACGAATTTCGTGCACAAAATCCGTTTTCTGAAGCACAAGCACATGTGCTGAGTTGAAGTTCGGAACAGAAAGGCACCCAGCATAAACACTTCTTGCCCAAGTTGATCCTGCTCTTTCAGTAGAGCATGGACATGAGCAAGCTAATACGACAATTTGGTACAGGATAGCCTTGGGAGGCTATCGGTGCAGGCCCAAGTTTGGTAGTGTCATTTGCGGAGTTACAGGCGTCAAAGCACATACTTTACAGGTAAACAGCCATACTATGCATGCGTGGACGTTGCAGCTTGCAGGCGCAGAAGGTCATTATTGACCGCGGACAGTCCTGCTTGCTTCTCCACCCGCACGATGCACATGTATATCTCTACGGTTTCGTCTGTTAGCCCATCTTATACTAGTTTTACTAGGACGCACCTTACAAGGTGCATTCCCAAAAGCAATCCAAAAGCTCTGAACTGACTCTGAGCTTGAATTTCCGACAGCCCGCTTGCAGTTTGCCATGCAAAGCTTATCAGGTGTTGGATGTGCCAATGACTGAGCAAGGGCAAGCGTACACTCTGTGTTGTTGTTCACTGCGAACCGGCGCCATGCAACCGGGGGCAAACAGCCACAAACGCGATGATGATGGCGACGGCGAATGATTTCTTAGAGCCTGGCTCGGGGGCTTAAAGGTTTTCCTCAAAAAACTCTGCAACTTTCAGCAACTTGATATATTTGGTGACTCTGCTGCGTCAGGTTCATCCGAATACTGGACATCGTGGGCATGGTGTCCCTGTCTTTTTGGACACTCGGCTTGTGATTCTACGTGTCAGAAGTCATGCCGCAAGCACCTTGGCAAAGATGCGCGCAAATACTTGGGGCCGGGCGCATAGGGCACCTGGCATTTTCATTGGTTTCAGGATTTCAGAGTTTAGAAGCTGTTTTTGCCGAGTTTATTTGAGGGGTTGGAAGCTGTTTTTTGCTTCTTGCCGCTGGCATGCCATGAGGATGATGATGATGATGATGATGATGATGACGATTTATGGGGGTAGAAGGGAGGCTGGGACGGGTGAAGTCTAGGGAACTAGGGCAGAGGGCTGTTGGCTGGATGTGCTGGTACTAGTGTAGTTTTGCGAGCGGCCTTGAATCCGTACATGTACCTGCTGTTTGCTGTTGGCTGGCGAGATATGCTTCAGCTGCTCGACCTGGGACTGTTGTGGCCGCACCGACTGGAATTCAGAATGGTTAAGGCTTTCATGTTTGCAAGAGACGGCCACAGAAGCTTTGTTTGGGCGTGACTGGTGGTAGCGGCAGTGCCGAACCTGGACGGGTTGGGCCTTGTGGGCTGGCTGCCGCCTGGTGCTCTGGCCGGCATGCAGAATCAGGATGCTTGTGGACATCGTTGAAGCGACATATGCCCACTTCCATGCCCGCAAACGCTGCCACGAGCTGCTTGAGAGCCTACCAGTGGTGCTCGCACAAACCAATCAAGACAGGGCGGACCCCAATAGCTTCATTTTGCCAGGCGGGAACCACTTCCAGCAAGGCATGCCGCCCATGCCTTCGCTAGATACAACTTTCAGATAGAGCAAAGGGCAGCGAAGGAGGAGGAGGAGGCAGAAAGGTCGCAACATGTCGGCCGTGTCTGCTGACAGGCCATGCCGATGGCTTGAAAGTCGGCTCAGATGGCTGGGTCAGGGAGAAGAAGCTGGTTTTCAAAACCATCCAATACGCCCCCCAAGTTCGGTCCACCCAGTCTTGGATATTAGTCTTGGTATTATTTCTTGCCAATAGCATCAGTACGTACAAGTCTCGTGCAACTTTCTCACCCACGCCCGTAGGCAGAAGCATCCAAGTGTGATGCGCGTACAGAACATCTTCTGAGCGTTCACCTGACCCAGACGCGGCTTCCTGCAAAGTGCACGCCTTTAAATCCGTTAGGACCTTGCATTCGCCAGGGATGCACATGATGCACCTGAATCAGGTTGATCGGCTGCTAGCCGGGCATTGTGTTTGCATTGAAGGAAAGCAAAGGGTGTGGGAGCGTATGCAAAGCATTGAAAGACCGAGAACATTAGCTTGCGCACACTTGGTAGTAATTCTACCAAAAACAACAACTGCGGTGCCCTGTGCCTGCTCAAACATGGGCACAATCTGGCGTGGGCTGTCTGCATGTGACTGACCTTCTGACTGACAAATGGCGACCGAACGCTCTTTGAAGCAAGTCGCCTTTTGCATTAGCAAGCCTTGGCTCAGCTCGTCTTCTTTTGCTTCCAGCTTCAAGGTCTGCGCACCTCCGGCGTGCCCAAAAAAGGAACTAGACGGAAGGAGTCTGGAAGTGAGAGGCATGGGACACGAAAGGGAACGAAGACTTGTAAAGGGGAAAAGCATCAAAGCAACAGAGCGTGGGAGTCATGAACGAAACATGAAGGGCTGCCAGGTGTCAGGAACCCTCAGAGCACGATGGCTGTAGTTCCATAGTCTTTCCAGAAGCATGGCCCCTCTGAGGATGCTGGACATCCCCCTTCACCTCGTGTTCGGCGTGCAGCTCCGGGGATCCCTCGAGATGCGCCCAGCAAGGCTTTGGCGCCTCGGCTGAGCCTCATATGCCTTAACCGTAGAGTGGGCCACATGGGCCACTTGCAACAGAAATTCAAGGGAACCCGTTTGAAGAACTTGCCCTCAGCCCAGCCTCCAAGCTTACCCGATGGCGTCTTGAAGGTGACAAAGATTGGGAAGTGCATGCAATGCATGCAGCATCAACTGCAGCATCTTGTCATGTTGCATGTAGTTTACCGAGCTTGGGCAGGCAAAGGACACATGACTCTCATGGTAGGCGCTGGCATGGGCACAATCATGAGTTCGCCTCAGGAGTTTATACATGCGCTCCTGGTTCGCCATAGATCTTTTGATTGCGACCTGATGGCAATTGGATGACATGGAAGCGGTTCCACTCCATTCGCAAATTGCAGAATTCAAGCGCAGCGTCTAAGGTACTGCTTGACATATCGCTGATTCTTCTGGAAGCCTTGCCCCCTTGGCAGAAGCAGGTGTTTGATTTTGGAACACAGCAGTTCACCGACCTTCGGGGGGACATCATTCAATTGCTCGTGAGCATGGGTTGTGCAAGGAGTGGTTCGGGACTGACCCACGCACGAGACGTCTTTCTGTGCACAAGCTTCTGTTCCACTTCTACACCCATTCGCTGCCGATGCCTAACCTGAAGACGTAATGTAAAATTGGAGCTTGCGCTGTGGCCCCTTTAAGGAACAATTCTTCACCAAAACCGCCTCCAACCAATTGCCTCTGCTGCAGAAAGTCCGAACCTGCTTTGGTCAGAGGTCAGCCTTGCTCAAAGTTCCACATCTAGTCTTTGCTGGCCCCTAACATGTTTTCAACATGATGCATGGGCTTGGACGGCGATGGGTCAGAGAATCTCTCCAGGTCCAATGACGATGCCAGCAGCGCATTCCGGTCTGCAAGGTTCTTGCGGTCTCTTCGGCTCCCTGGCTGAAACCAGTCCAGGCATTGACTGCACATGTGATGCACTATACTTCCACAACATCAGGAGAGCTCGTTCTGACTTGCGCAAACGGACCTCCCCAGCATCCTCTGCATTACGGCCAACCCAATGCCCAACCCCCAAGCCTCTTAGAGCAAGATTGTGACGGCACTCTGCCCTTGCACGATTGGAAGTATGTTCCTGAATTCCCGCGTCAATGGGACAATAGCGATACGGCGCGGCAACGTGCCAGCAAACACAGCTGCTCATCACCAACGAAAGATGCAGGAAGATCAAAATGATCAAAATGGTTTCATAGCATGCCATGGATCCAGAACTGTTTACTTGCACTGCGGGATCCTGAACTCAACTGCTGCCTTGCTTTTTGATGGGAGGAAGACCCAAACAAGGAGAAAAGCATGATCTCATATCAGCTGCGTCTCCTGTGTCATGACATCGTATTTGCTTTACAACTTTAATCACTTAAGGAGAAAACATGGAAGGAAGCGGAAGCGCTGCACAAAAGAGGACCAAATGTTTCCTTGCAGACAACTCCACGCGCAACGGAAGCTCGCGCAGGCTGCTGCGGCTTTTCCGCCTGGTGCGAGTTGCCAAGCTTCAACGAGAGCTTTCGCTGGTGGCAAGCCGGTTCCTGTCGACATACGCTTTCATGGCTGCTTGGCAAAATGTGTGTGCATCGACTGCCATGTTCAATGCATGCCGTTGGCAGCAAAATTCTCTATCAGCGTTCATGATGGTATGGTGAGCCCGGGGCCTTAAAGACTGAGGACTGAGGGAGGTATAGAGCGCAAAGGGGCTGCATGCAGCTGGCAGGTCATGAAGATCGTGGGAGCTTTACTAATGATGTTGGCCATCAACCACATTATCGGGTGCTGCTGGTATGGCATTGGCTATGGGAGCCTTGGTCGCGACCTCTCGGTGCAAAGGTGAGCGTTATCGTGCAAAAATAAATAGATACAGGGCAAGGTGTGTATCACCTTTTGACGGGACAGCACAGACATGACCAAGTAGGTTGTTCGTCCAGGATCAGATAGGATAGGAAGAACCTTGTTCTCAGATTTAGGCTAGAGGTCTCAAGACGCAGCGGGCATACGTTGGATGTCATCCTTATCAAACAATCTTCAAAGACCAGAACAAGTCAAGCAAGCTGCTGTTCCACACTCCCAAACCGCTGCTATAGGAGTGACAGCACCAAAACCTGGATATACCGCATTGAGATTGAGGATGCAACTCGGGCACGAATGTTGGGATGCTGCTGTCCATACAAGATGCGTTGCAACAGGATCTTGCGTGCAGAATCACAGCCAGTCGCTCATGTGCATGTCGAGAAGGTCAGAGATGTCTTGTGCGCAGTCATGCGGTGTAGATCCTCGCGCGGAACGCACAACCCCCCAGAGCACATGGGGAAGCGCAGAGTTTTCTTGTATCAGAGGCGAACTGCTAGGCTCCAAGAGACAGACTCACACGTCTAGCTGTGCAGGCAGACTTTGCGACGAGTTATGTCTACTCAATCCATTGGGCACCTTGGATATACAGCATCAGCATTTTCCGCGTGGGCAGTCAGGAAGTCCGTCCAACGGAAGACTATTTTCAGATCGGACGGCCATGAAGTTGCATAGGATTCCAAAAAAAGTGATATTTAGCCTAGCATAGAGTGCACAGCGAGGATGGTAGCAAACTGCTCTGCATGCACAAGCTGGGAAGTCACAACAGTTTATTGTCATACAGTGGTTGGGCAGGTTCGGTCACAGCACAGTGAATCCAGCAAAGGCTTTGACACAGTTCACTCCTTCAACGAACAACATCGCTCCAGAAAATGCGATGGAGAGGTCGGCTGAGCTCGATGAGTTTGAGATCGCAGCTTAGTGTAGCCGCGTGTGTTCTTCTTACCCTTCCAAACAATTTCTCCTAATCATCAGGGTTTGGTCTACTCCAAGACTCTTGCCACCTCTAGCCAAGGTTCACTACCGTAGCCCCGAAAGCTGCATACAGCTTTGCCACAGTCCTGGCAGGTTTTTCGCAATATGGGTCATCTTGCTTGCCATGGGTGTCTACTCATCCTTCATCGGCTCCATCAGCTCGACCGTCAACTCATTGCGTGCTGTCCGTGGAGAAAAAATCAAACAGCAACCACGAGCTGCACGCTAATACGGTTCTGGGTTTTTCGCTTGGTTCGAGGGTTGCATGGTGGCTGGCCTAGTGGGGCAAGAAATGAGACAAGAGATTGTCTTGAGATCTCGAAGTGCAATACAGAGACATCAGCAGAGCAGGCAATCCAAGCTGCTGCAGTTCTTCATCGAGCGAAATCTTTCGCTGGACTTGTATGGGAACATCCAGGACACAAGACACGACTGGATTGCCAAGCCTTTGCATCTGAAGCCTACTTATGCTGCCTTGTTCATCGTGGCGTGGCAGGTTTTGCAACAAGGACGAATAAGGCGAACGTGCATAATCTTGAATGGCAGCTCGAGCCCCCTTGGAGTCCTTCCGCCAAAAAAAGTTAGCTACGTGCACTGAGGGCCCATGTCGTTTCCATACTTAGTTCAGGTTTAAGATCATGGACTGAGAATGCCATAGCATGCCCATGCATGAGGTACTGGCATGCGATGGGATTCCCGAGGGCAGTGTGTGGGCAAAAAGAATCTGATGAAAGACTTCTGCTGATCCATTGCTGTGGGTGGCGCAGTCTTGCGACTGGTTTTTCACACGTTGGCATCATGCCTAAGCCCGCGCTCAATTCATTGGCCCGGCAGGAGACCCTTCGTCGCGAAGGCATGGTCGAGGCCTCCTGACGTGTAAAAACGGTATGAAATGGTACAAGTCGCCAATGAACTGTAGATCCTGCTCGCAGGTTCGCCTTAAGGAGGACGAAGTCAGCCTGAGACTTGCCTGCGTTTGGCCTGTAAACTGACGCACCATACCCCATCATACCCCTAGAATGCCAGCTTTCTGAATGCTATCGCAAGGATCAGCGGCCTGCCAGAGCGAGCCTCGCCTATTCCAAGACCTACTTGGCATTTTTTCTCGCAGCACGAGGTAGCTCACAAACCTGATTCTTTTAAGTCACGAAGGTGTTAGGCAGCTGCTGTTGGAAGTCTGGTGAAGTCTGGGCTTGGTGCTTTGTCGCTCCCCCATGCTTCAGGGGCTCGCCTTGAGGCTTCAAGCAGCAGCTGCATGAAGAGCTCTTCCTGGTAGCAGTTCAGCGTCTCCCGCTGTGGCCTTCCTGGGCTGAAGGCGGGCTTTTTTGGAGAGCTGTGCTGATCGTGCAAAGGACATCGGCTTTTGCAAAGAGCAGGGTTGCCAACAGTTTCCATGCGCCTGTCAGTCAAGGTCCGCCTGACAACTTGTGAGGTCAATCTGCCGACAGCTTCTTCTTCAATAATTTGTGCCATCAAGCTGTGAGCGAAACTTGGCTGCGGCCTTGAGCACGGAAGTCCACGCGCAAATCTGCGATCTTATGCAAGCACAACAGAAATGAGGCACTGCATCATGCAATTCTTGGTGAGTGTGTACAACCGAGGAGTGTGTCACCACACCTGGCGAGGATGCATTCATGGCGGGTGCAGCACACGCATTGAACAGGTGTAGACACAAGGGAACGCACAGGAAAGCAAAAGAAATAACGCATACAGTCAGGGCCTGTTCATGGAATGCATCAGGGCTTGAGAAGGATGCCAGCATGTAGTCCAGTACTTTCAGAAGACCAGGGTTTGTTGCATCCTGCTGAGAAAACGTGATGAACGAGACGACAGCCAAGGGACAGTCTGCGAGAATGTGTACGTTGTGGAGTCCGGCTTCATGAACTATTCGTTGGGCAACCAACAGCCCGACGAGATAGAAAGGCCTGCTAAAGGGCAATACAGAGCAGTAAGAGACAGAGAGAGAGAGAGAGAGAGGAAGAGTGCTTTGGGGACTACATCGAAGGGGTTTTCACAGGACCGCGGGGAAACGAGAGCATGGGAGCATTGGGGGAAAGGGAGCGGTCAGGGAAAGGTCAACTCGCCCTCATTTGATACATTTTCCCAAGCTGTACAGGGGCCACTGTTCTGTGGGCTCAGCCCACGCGCAGTATTCGGACTACGTACGGAGGTCAGCATGTAGAAGAAGAAGAAAAAGAGCGAGAGCGAAGAAGAGGAAGAAGAAAGAAGCAGCAGCAGCCGCGGCGGCGGCGGCAGCAGCGGCAGCGGCAGCGGCAGCGGCAGAGGCAGAGGCAGAGCGAGAGATATCTAAGTGACAAGCGGACATGCATGGCCACGGGTGCAACTTCGATGTGCCCTGCAATGGGTGCATGTGGCGAGTAGAAGAAGACAACTAGGCTTTGGCTCTCGGCAGGTCCCCCTACAGAATGTATCTGCCTGCTGCGCGGGCAGGGCAAGCATATTGATGTTTGCTGAAAGTTGGCGTGAAGTTATTCTTGCTGAATATGATCGACAGCTGGGCATTTGTTTAATTTGTTTGGATCCTTTCGGGGCCACAACCCAAACCTGAGATGCGGCAGGCCTGTGGGTGGCCGCGTGCCCACGTTTCCCAAGCACTCTCATACAGTCGACCCCTTGCTTGCTTCCAAACATTACCAGGACCCTGTAACTAACATGCCCGCGTGCGAGTATTACGTACCAAAGTTTAAAACGCATGGCCTGATGGATTTTGCTCCCAGGTGGGCTTATTCTCCAGGGTTCTACGGAATGATTAGGTATCACCCCAGACTGTGGGGAACGACTTATTCCGTCGGTGGCCGGTGGTGGCCAGTGGAGGGCGGGGTTGGCCAGTGGCTGGTGGCCGGTGGCCAGCGCGGCGGTGGCTAGCCGGTGTCCGATATCCGGTGGAAGGTGGGGTGGCCAGTGGCCAGCGCGGCGGAGTTTCGGTTCAGCGATACGACCACCACAACTGGGACGACGAAGACGACGACAAGAAACTCCCCAACTGCGACTATTGTGGCTTGAGCGCGTGCGCCCTAGTCCTCGAAAATGAACATTATTATAATGGTTCGGGCATAGATGCTCTGGTCATCGGACGCAGTCGAACATGAACGTTATTGAGGTTTGGGCATGGATACTCTGAAGGCAGTCGAACATGTATGTTATGGTTTGGGCATGGATGCTCTGGTCATCGGCTGCAGTTGAACATGAACATTGTTATGGTTTGGGCGTGGATGCTAGGGTCATCGGACGCAGTCGAACATGAACGTTATTGAGGTTGGACATGGATACTCCGTTATTATGGTTTCAGTGCTTGGGAATACACGAGGAGCTGTTGCGTTACGCCGCCTGTGACGACCACAACATGACGACGATTCCGACGATCGCGCTGTCCGGTGTCGGTGGCGGGGGGCGATAGCCGGTGTCCGATGGCCGGTGGCCGTTGGCCGGTGGCCGGCTGGAAAACAGCGGAAAAAGTCTTTAGTGCAGACTGTATCATTCACTGGGTCTTGTTGGCCTAACCAGTCGTCGGGACCTTGATATAATTCAACCCCCTGCATAAACTCGGCAACGTTGAATTGTTAGTCCTGGTCTTCAAAATTCTCAGTCACGACCTTCCACCCAAAACCGGCCAGGCAGTTGTGCGGGGGCCGGATCATCTTCCCACTTCTCCACGCCCTTGCTCCAGCGCGTTGATTTCTGGCCGCTTTTAGTGGGTAGCAGGTCTCACGGCCATCACAGACTCAGCAACAGGTCGAGAAGGAAGTAAGGAAGGAAGGTCGAGGTTTAAGTCTGCTAGAAATGAGAATGCCTCAGAATGCCGTTATCCTCTCAGTACTTCGCATTGCCCCCCCCCTCTGGCTAAAGCGGCAAGCATCAACTACAAGGAACACCCGATTCTTCACAGCCCAGCCCTGAGCATTTCGCTCCTTTCTTCTCGGTCCCGGCTTTGCAACCTCAAGCTGCAGCTGGATTACTCGCTTCACCGCTCCCAGTGCAAGAAGGCCTCATGTGCACAACCAAGCAGCCACCCGCCGCATCCACGTTTTGTGGCACCGCGGCTCCCAACCCAGATCGGCGCCCGCCATCAAGTTGCGTGAGCACCTGGGAAAGACTTGCAGCACTACGCAGGGACACCATTCTCATTGAGTTTGAATTCAACGGCAAGATCGCTTCGACAGCGGCCGCCTAAACCTTGAGAGCTTGATTGTGTATTGCTAGGGCAAGGAACGCATATGCTATGAGTGGACAGCGTCTGCACTCTGCGCAAGGACATTCGCAAGCGTGGCCTAGCTACTGTATCTCTGAGTTCAGGCTGTAGTGCAACTTCTTCATTGGGACCCCGTGGTCGCCACCGCGATAGCCGTGAGCCCAGTGTGCTACTACAAGGCGGTTGAGCTGGGCAACCAAATGGAGGGAATGTGGAAGCTAGACGGCTCAACAAGGACATGCGAGTCAAACAGTTTGTCTTCCCATTCTCGACATTTACACTTCTGCAGCCCCAAAAAAACACAGTAGCACCTGTTGCTGATTCCAGCAGCCAGTTTAGAAGTGCAACACTTTTGAAACCTGAGCCCAAACCAACTGATAAACTACTCTAGTATAAGACGGCCTATTCTCAGGCGGAGACGTGAGGTCTGCAAAATGCTGGACGATGAACACGTCCTGAGACGAGCAAATCATGTGTACGTACACTGCAGCAGCCCAACGACCCGAAGCTTTGCCAGATACTTCGCTGAAGCTTTTCAGCGAGGCAGCACATCGACCTGGGACAACAGAAGGGGAGCTTTGACGCCTTGGAAAAACAATCAGAAAGGAATCCGCTGCTCACCGCCAAAGTCAAGGCCCCTTCGGCCAGGCCGGAAACCGACACGATACGAAAGCAACAGTTGCGGTAACGGCCTCCTGGCCAAGTGTTGCTGCCAGTTGGAAGTCTTCCACGTTAAGAATGTCCAGCTGGAACACTGGACAAAACGAAGAGGTCTTTGGAACCACTGCACATCCTAACAACATGGAGCTGTACATCAGGACCAAACACCAAGAAATGCCAAGGCGATGCACGATCCCTCGCTGCTATACAACCTCCAAAGCCGCTGTTCCCTTCCACACTCGCAACTGCAAACGGCCAAGAGTTTGCTGATCTGCTGCACAATTGGCGACAAGTCTTCCACCACGCTGACGGACACGCGGGGGGAGAGGACAGCGACGAGGTTGGAGCAAACAAGATTGAAAGCATTTTTTAAGCGCAGCTCATCAACTGTGCCCACAGCCTGCTAGAACAGTCGAACAACATTGAGCTGTCGCTTGGAAACGACATGTTATTTTCACCGGGATGAGTTCGTTCAAAGCTAATGTCCCACAGTGGTTGAGGTCGGTGCCCTCAACTGCAAGTCACAAGCTGTGCAGTCCGTCCATGTGCTGAACCAGTGGCAGCCAGAAGGGTGTCCCGTGTCTTCTCGACAAGGGCATGGCATTTAACGGGGGGAAATTCTCTGAACACACACGCACGACCAACAAAAGGACAGAGAGAAAGAAACCTTATTTACAGCCTACAAATAAAAGAAAGAGATTGGTTGAACCTGCTGAAGCACACATAGGCTGATGTTAGCCAATTTATTCGCCTGTCTGACTGCAGCGCAGTCATTGGGGGCAGGACCAACACAAGCAAAGCATTCCCTAGGTGTCAGGTGAGTTTGGGAAACTTCGATCTGCGCATCGAATTTGTACATGGAAGATTGGAAAACATTGCAAAGCCTTCTAGGTGCATCCTCAGATCATGTGCTTCGTTCAGGGATGCCATTCTTTGCCTGCCCTGCTTCTGGTCGGAGTGGCACCATGTTGGGCGACTTTCAGCTAGCTCGGGCACCAGCTACTACTTCAAGATCCACTGCGACGAGCGCCTAGGCCTAGATGGGCTGAAAGCTGCTGGTCGTTGAGATTTTGATGATATGTCGTGAAGCTGATGGAGCGTGCATCCCATTGTGAATCATGCCTTCGGTGAGGACACGCCTGCATAGGTCAATAACAAATGATGGGGCTGGTGTTTTCAGATGTGCCCTGCATGGCAGTGCACATTGTTCACCCCTCACATTTTTGTGAACAACTGGCCGCCAAGGTTCTGCAAAATTGCAACTCGATTCGGGGCGCGCCTGTGTTTGTATTTGCAACTCAGCTGCCATCTTTCCCAGAAAAGGCCAGTTTCCACAACCTTGACAGATTTGCGGGTGGCAAGGCAGTCAAAGATTTCAGCCGCATTGCTGCTGGCAGTTTTTGTGAGCTATGGAGACAGGAATGCAGCATCGTGCGCGGTAGGGACGTTCCATCTTGTTACTCACAAAGTTCACTATCACGGCCAGCTAGAGTTACATATGATTACATATGCAAGTCATATGCACACACACACACAAACCTGAAAGTAGGTGAAAGTGACTAGCTTCAGTACTTCCATCCACCTCGAAACCTACATGACCAACCTCGTGGGCCGGAGGGGCCTAGGTTGGATCCTAACGGCCAAGGCAAGTCTTTGGTATCCTCGTCGTCGGGGCAGTTGAGAGCCAGCAAGAGCAAGGTGCTGCTGGGAGTTGCACCAGCATTCAAACACATGCAGGGGTCTCAAACAAGAAGAGTTGCGGATAGTTGGTGGCAGTTGGCAAACAAGATCCTAGGGCCTCACAGTATAAACCAAAGTACTCTGTCCACAGGCCATATCACGGACGTATGCTTCGACTGGCAGCGCATTGAGGAGCTTGCCTCCAGGGCGGAGAGGCTCGATTATCCTCTGCGCATGAGAGAGTGCAGATGCTTGTAATAACCCTTGCATGGACCTGGAGCAATAGCTGCACTCCTGGAGTTTGGAGCACGTGTTTCACTGCGGGCCCAAATTAGTTTGGTGACTTGGCAGGCACCCCACGGTAAATCCATGCCAGTTCCGCTTCAGCCTTTGCGGTGAGTGCTCGCAAATCTTCCTGCTACGCCACAAGTATGGTGCATCCCCTGTCCTTGTCACGGCCATCATTCCACTACAATCGCTCCACTCCCACTTGGACTGTCTTTTTTTCTGTGGATGGCATGTGCGAGCTTGAGAAGTCACCTTTTTTCACCATGCATTTACGCAGCGCTTTTATCTCACCTTGCATCCCAGCTGTGCTTGATGAGGGCATGGGTGAAGTCTGACCCGTCTAA